ATGAAATATATCGGTGTTATAAAAAAGAAGCAAAAGAATGCTCACAATCTGGAAATTTATCAACGGCAAAAATAAAAGAAGAACTAGCCAATAAAATCTATGTGGAACTGAAGAAAGCATACAAATCAGTGCTTACAAATAAAAATACCATGAAAACATCGGTGAATACTACAACAACATTAATCTGGCTCAAATCGAAGCTGTATGGTATTGAAATAGAACAACTTCAGAACACTCTACATAATGTTGTTTCATCATTCCAACTGTTTGACAATGAAAGCGACTGTTATAATTACTTACAAGAAAAGGAAATTTCTGGTAGCGTATTTCTAATTACAAGCGATAATTATAAAAGCTCAACCGTAGCTAACCTTCAACAATTTTCAAATGTCAAAGTTGTCTATCACTATGAACAATTATCATTGAAAAACGAAACAGTTATCAAAAAATACAATGATCTTTGCTTTCGAGTAATATCTGATCTTGCCGCTCATTACAACGAATTAGGTTCTGCCTGCAGTATCAAACAAGATTCAAAAATTGCTAGAGACATGTTCATGAAAGTATATGAACTTTATAATATTCTTGCTAAACTTTAAAAAAATTATTGCAACCGTTTTTGCTTATTATTAAATATACTTTCATCACATTTTAATCAAGTTTTATTTTAGATGTTAACTTTCAATGATATTCAATTTATTGGCGATATATATGAACATGCTATCAACTGGACTCTTCTACATTACCAACAAAATATACCTGTATACATTCCCTTACCTAATGCTGAGCTGATGTATTTCATTCAACCTTTTGATAACACAATAAACTGTCAAAATTGTATTGATAGAAACCCGGAAAAAATTGTTACATTATTTATATATGATGAAACGATACAACAGTGGCTAGCGGATGGTATTAATATACCAAATAATCTTCACGACATAATAATTTTTTGTCACTGTGACGATCAATTATATGTTACTGAATGGGCAAGTTTTCAAAGAGTCAGATACAATAACATTATTTTTAATATAACCACTTTTGAAGAACTCAATGATCACTTACTATCATTTGGCCTTGAACACATACGAAGAATGCGTACATATTTTCAAGATGATTTTAGTATACTGAATCTATTAGATCAAGATTACAAAGCACTATGTAGGATTTTGGGAAAGCATGCATTACAAAGAGCAAATATAGAGCATGAGAGAGTTAGGGAAAGTGAAGAAGCACAACACTAATTTTTCTTTTTCTTCTATGTCCTGTTTGTTCATGTAATAGTGATAGTTTATCATTGACTAGAAATAAAGCACTTGTGAGATTATCTCCAAAGTTTAAGTTCGAAAGTTAGACCAATAGTACTAAACATTCATCATCATTTGAGTTTGATATACAAAGAATGTATTGGCTTTGTAATTAACATGTTTCTTCTTTACTAAATACCAGAAGTAAAGCAAAGATAATATTGTATTAACTAGAATAGCAAGTAAATAAATCATTTTCTACATTCTCAATATTTTTGTAGTTAACTGAAAAAATTAGATGTATAACAGGATATTGATGTGAAAATCATATGTATGAATAGAATTTTATCTAATTAAGTTTTTATAACATTGATCTTTTGATACAAAGACAATTGTAGCTCTTTTCTTTGTGGTTTATCTATCAATTGTTAAAACTGATTGTTTGTAATAAAGTTGATGTACGAGCAGATTTTATTTTAGATATTAAACGTATTATTAAACTGTGTACAGAAGGATTGCAAAGTGCGTAAGATGCTTCCAATAAATCAGCTAAAAGTTACGCTTATTTCAAAAGAATCACACAAATCATATTAAATCACTTAACTTAGATAAAACCACATAAGTCAAGCTAAACTCACAAAAATCGGAGGTTATTGCTTCCTGTTGGGTGTGGATGTGGGTGCAGGATGTGGGGTGTGGGGTATGGGTGTGGGGTATGGGTGTGGGTGTGAGCGTGGGTGTGGGTCTGGGTGCGCGGGTGGGGGTGTGAGTGTGGATGGTGGTGTGAGTCTCACCACACCCACCCACACCCACACCCTCCGATAGGATCCTATTGAGGTGCTTCGCCCTGGGACGCTCTATTTCACGTGAATATTAATTGAGCCATTCATACTAATATTTAATTGTTGTAATTATTTTGAATAGTCAACTTGAGAGAATTTCAATAAACTTTACTTATCTACATGCAGAGATTCTTATACAAAAACAAAAAAATTCATTGTTTTCGAAGTAAATAAATAGTGTGGAGTCAATGAATATTGAATAGAAAAAGAATAATATACTTCGTGTATACATATACATACATCAAAAGAAACAAACAACATCTGAAAATGTAATTAAAATAATTTTTTTATGCCACGGCAGAGCAACAGAGAGGTATGAGAACGGCGAAGCGGCTGAGCAGTCGGCCGACCGGAAAACATTTTGAAATCTTCTCTAAACGATTGATCGATTAATCGAAATGTCTAATAACTGACTGTGTATTGTTTGTTGAGATGATCATTCGTCTAGATGAGTACTTGTCTTCGAAAAATCAATTGATTGACTTTGTCACATTCACTGAAATGGAGAAGAATGATACGAGCAGATTCGACTCCATTGTTTTCTTTAATCGATTTAAGGATTATTCTCCACTCCATCCGAATTTCGATCGATCAATTGAAAAGAATAGTCTAACAAAGATTGTCGATTGTCCATGGATTGTTCCGAGAGATTCTTTTTCGATCAATCTTTCTTTATCTATCTTTCAAAAATTCGATGTTTGTCTAATTAAGAATAGGAAGGAGAGTCGATGTTATCCATCAATCCATTTCTTTCTGCACTCTCGTCACTTGTGCTTTCGCATCGGATTTCTTTTCTGACGTGCTCGCTTATTCGCTTTCGATTTGTGTTTTTCTTTTGGGATTGAATCTTTTCCGAGAGCTGTAATCTCTTTTAATGAGATAAAACTATGTTTTCTTGATCAATCAGCGATATTCATCAGGGAATCGATGTCAACTCTTTCGTACAATTCAATTAGAATGTTATCCATCAAATTTCTCTCTTTCAACTCATTTATCATCATCAGTGACACTTGCGATATATTCGAGAAAATCTTCCCCAATCAAATTAAGAGATAAAATCTATCGAAGTGGTTTGGATCTTGGGAAACTTTGGGAAAGGAGATTGACATTCGATTATAATCAATATTCAACATGTGTTACGAAATTATTTTTTTATCTCAAAAGGTGTCAAATGTAGATCATTTGCATCAGGTAGCAGTATACCTTATCCTATTTAGATAATTCTCAGCATTATTCTAAGAGGATCAAGTATTGAAAGATGATAAAATGTTTTATTGTAAAATAATCCTTTTTGTAGATTAACTAAAATCTGTGATAGGAAGAGAATCCCATTCAAATTATCGCAATATGATATGAGACTTTATCGTTCAATTTCATGAAAGATTTTATTTTTACTGAAACCACAAACCAAAATTTTTAATATAAAGCTTTGATTTACGATAACGAAGTGAGAAAAACATCGATTTGAGACAATTTTTTTTTCTGTCTTAGTTTTATTTGACAAAAATGTTGAATCATTTGTTCAATTCAGAACCGATTTTCGTGAGACTTTTCATAGAAGTGATGTTCAATAATAATTTGAAAGGATTTAATTCACTCATCTTTAATTCGTTGGTTATGTGTTCACGTGATGAGACGCTGTTTACGTCACATAAATCGTAGAAGCGACCACACACAAAATGCTTGCTGTGCATGTTTTTCTTGATTCTTTTTCGTTGAATAGCCAATGTATTTGAACAAGATATGCTTGAGTATTTGTTTTCGTCTGCTCGAAAAGAGTCTTAGAAGTAATAGACAAATAGCACACTTTATTGTCTGTTGGCAGTTGGTTTTTTTCAACTTTCACAAGAAGCAAAATATAGTCAATGCTCAAATGAAGCGAAACTGACTCGAGTCGACACACATTCGTCCCGAAAATAGCACTTCATTCAAAGTATGAGTCAAAAAAAAGCAATTTTATATACAAATTTCTTCTTCATTTCCTTCAAGAAAAAGCAACATTCAAAACAATAGACAGAAAAAGAAAAGCTAAGAATATACACTGTAGTGTGAGCGTCTAACACCTCTTTTTTTTTCATCTCTCATATGACAAGATACACACACATTCAATCTAAGACGAACATGCGTTGAACGACAAGAAACAAAGAATTCATCCTACGAATGGAAAGAAAATAGCTTGTTCTTTTTCGTTGCTGAATGTATGACATCAAAAAGAAGATGAAGGATTATACATCCAAAAGCGATCGTTCAGATATAGTACATGGTCTGACGAAAAAAAACAGCACAGTGAAAAGTGGCAGTTGACTACATTTTATTCTTAGTTTGATGAAACTTTCACAAAGAATCAAATTTATGTTTTTGATGAAAGGCGGTTCCGGAGTTATGAATAACATTCTTGTGTAGACGGTGCCAGTTTTGAAGATATTTCGAAAATTGCTGATCATCAGAAAATCGATTCTTTTGTTAATAAGTTATAAAGAGAAAAAATAGATTGATTTTTTTTTCTGGGAAAGTTTGATCCAATCATTTTGAGTTTCATCGAGTCAAAAAATCGACGACGAATTGTGGTCGACTCGATGACTCATCGCACTCTTGCCATAGATTATTTGTTGATTAGTGTAACTTCGATAGAACAGAAAGTGGAAAATAGTGATGTCTTTTTTTCATTTTCTCTTTTTCCTGTAGTCAGCTAAGAAAGAATGTAACACATGTGAGAAATTGTAAAGACCTCTTCTTAAATTTTCTATTTTTAGTCCATGTCTATTTTTATTTCTATTTTCATTTGAAACTTGCCATATATGAAAGTAGTGTAGTTTATTCTAGTTTCAAAATGTGTAGAGAAATTCAATAAGCTATATTTATCCGACCTTTTTGTTTTTATTGTAGATCGATATTTGGTTGAAGAACTACTATGGAAGATAGTGTTCAACTCGAAGATGAACCAATTTCATCGACAGATGATTTATTACCATTGATTAGAGATCAATTGGATTTAGGTGATGGTGTAGAAGTAGATCATGAACAACAGCCACCACCGCCACTGCAAAAGCAACAACAACCAAGCAAAACTGTTCATTCCTTATTAGAAGCAGAAACCGATCCTGATGCTATTGAATCGTTGGAATTAGTGTTAAACAGTGTTGTCAAAGTCTTTTGCACTTCAATACCGTGCAATTTTTATTTACCTTGGTAAGACAGTTCGGGAATCGAATTCGGTTAAAATTCAATCTGAAATTTGATAGTTACCATATTATTTATAAAAAGTTTTGTCTTGTAAGAAAATCCAGGCTTGTGACAGCAAGTAGTTAAATTCTTTTGCTAATAATAAGACTACTTTGTTTATGTTTTCAAGAATAAAATTCAATAAACTTGTAGTTTTTTTTTAACATGGGCAACTAGAAAAATAATCGACGAGCTATAGTTTGTGCCTTTTTTCATGAATTATTTGAAGTGTATTCTATATCTAAAACATTTCGATCCAAAAATTAGACTGAACCTATCATTGTGTTTAAAAGTACATTCTTTTTGTTCACTGGCTTAAGAGATCAAAAAGTGCGTCCCAAATGAAAAAAAATTTCAAAGCAATGTTTCTGATTCATGCGAATCCTAAAATATCCTTCTACGTTTCAACTAATCTTAAAACCTAGTTATGAAATGAAACTTATAAACGTCAGTTTTTTTTTTTTATTGTTTAGGCAAATAAAACGTCAAGTAGCTAAAACTTCATCGGGCTTTATTATCAAAAATCGATGGATTCTATCAAATGCTCATGCCGTTACAAATCAGTCAAGTATTCGTATTCGAAAACATGGTGATGCTAAAAAATATCCTGCACGTATATTGTACATTGCACATGAATGTGATTTGGTTATCATGACTGTTGATGATAATAAATTTTGGAATAAATTAGAACCATTGACACTTAGTAATGATGTACCTAGATTACAAGAATCAATAACAATTGTTGGATATCCAATAGGTAAATTAAATTCTCATTGTCTTTATATGCCAATTTTATTTGCATTTGTTCATAGGTGGTGATAATTTATCAGTAACAAAAGGTGTTGTTTCGAGAGTTGTCATGTCAACTTACTCGCATTCACTTGAGTTTTTGTTAACAATACAAATTGATGCTGCAATAAATCCTGGTAACAGTGGTGGACCAGCTATTCAAGGTACGAAAAAACTTGTGACGAATTAGGTCATAGTTTTCTCTCAGGAAATCTTGTACTAAGAAGAACAGATATAGGATTCGATACAATTTTACTTTTACTCAGAAATGTTAAAAATACAGGCGAACAGTTCTCGATTTAAACTGTGTTCTTGTCTTTTCTTTAAAATATTTCTTGGTTTTATATAGAAGTATTCGACAAGGTTTTTCAAAAGAAAAATGACTTCATTGACAGTTTATAGTGTATTTGTTTGAAACATTTCTTACTCGTCGTCTTTTCTTTTTAACGTAATGATATACATTTTTAACAATGCCATAAGTTATTGATTATCAGATACACAAAGCTCCATTTTCTGCTCATTATTTAGTTTTTCCCAACACTTCAATACTAAGAAAATGTTTGTGATTCAATGTTGAAGAATTTTTAAGTGTTTGACTTCAAGAAATAAAGACTCTTGTGAATTCGAAAATTTAAGATGCTGACGTAACAGAAAGTTAGTATGAGATAGATACCTTGAGGGATCAATCTAGAACTAAGAGAAAATTACATGAAGGAAAGATTTTTAATTTGACTTTTTGAGAAAATTTTTTTGAAAATCATTTTGGCTCTTTGGTGTTGTGAACAAGAAAAAACAATTGAGGAGAAAGAAATCTTCGACATTTTTCACTTTGAAGGAAAATCTTCAAAGCAGTTTGGCTTCTCGAACAAACTCATGTCTAGTATTGAAGTATTCACTGTTTGGTTATAATATGAACGTAGAGTAAAATATCTTCTATATACTGAAGCATATTTTCGTAGTTAACAGACAAAATTCTATCATCTGATTGATAACACTCAGTATTATAGATAAATCAGTGAAAAAGAAACACAAGATATATTTAACATTAACGCTTTCCTTATTGCTAATGAAAATTAGGTTTTTTGAAGATATATTAACATCTGTTCGAAGCTTTCATTCATAACTTATGCACACAAACTTGTGTAAGTTTTGTAGAAAATAAAGACGCTATTTTTAGCGTAAATCCTCGCTCTGTATCTATTGAGAGTTTGAAAATATCTTAATTTTACTCTTTCAGCAAAAAGAGTCAAAAATCATTATTTTCTATGGCTTTTATTTAACTTCCAATCAAAATATAAGAGATTTTTCGTTGTTCGAAAGAGCGACTCAACTTGTACAAGGCATGTGAAAATAAAGATCGCTACGTGAAGGCTTTTGAGAAGCCGGTCTCTACAACATCAGAGCTAATTCAACTATTCAAAAAAAAACCAATAGCTTTATAATGTTTTTCAGTCTTAAACTAAAATAGAGTAAGCAATTCCGTACAAAATGAAACAGCTATTCGTTCTGTGGAATATTCTATTTGGTAGAGAGCATTCGCATTCTTAAATGCTTGAAGAAGATAAGAAAAAAATCTATAATGTTTTTATAACAGAAAGTATAACAAAACGGAAGTATCATCAGAGTTCTATAGTTTAAATAGTATCAAAATTGATCTGACAAATCCACTGTGGTTTTGAAAAAGTTGTCAACGGTAAATTATAGTTAATCTTTCGCCGAAACAAATAATATACATCTGGTCTTATCAAAAATAAGCAATAATGTATAAGTTCTGTAGAAAAAGTGAGAATTACATACAATGCACAGTTTCAGTCTTAAAAGATCTCTTAATTTTATAATTAATTTACAGACTTCATCTGCAGATGATTAACATAAAGTTTACAAATAATCCTATACTCTTCATTCATTGACAGTTTGTACGTTAATTCCAAATCAAAGCACAGATATGTCTGCACTGATCAGTTCTACTGCTGATCTTTTCGTTCCCTAAGGAAGAAAGAGAAATATGCACGTCTTTTGTTTTAGTGAAAGATTAACTATAAATTTCGATAATGGTCATTTAAATAATCACATGTTTACTGTTTAACTTATTAAATCTTTTTTTCGATTTCAGTTAGACTATTTTTTTTCTACAGCGAAATGAAGAAAACGAAGTTTCTAAGGATTGGACCATGACTCATTCTTAGCCAAATGTTGAGTACGTTGCTGAATCAACATAACTTCATTAGCTCATCTCGAAGTTATATCTTCGATAAGATGGGCTATCAAAGTTATGACTTCTGTAAACAAGCTAACCTCGATACGACATATGTATACAAAAGTTTCTTATATTGCTTATTGAAGCCATAATCAGTCTAGATCTGTACCAGGCATTGTGAAAATCGTCTTTAATTGTGTTTTTTGAATTTCTTATTTAGGTAAACATGTTGTTGGTATGTCATTTCAAGGTCAAGCTCAGGCTCAATCAATTGGCTACATTGTTCCTGTATCAGTAATCAAACATGTATTAGATGATATTGAACTACATAATAGATATACAGCTTTTCCAATAATGAGATTTCACTATCAGCCAATGGAAAATACATCGTATCGCCAGTATTTAAAATTGAATGATGATCAGCATGGTATCTTAGTAACATCGGTTGAACAAGCTTGTGTTCTTAGTAAAGTATTAAAAGAAGATGATGTTATCATAGCTATTGATAATGTGCCGATTGCCGATGATGGTACAATCTATTTTCGTCGTGGTGAAAGACTTAATTTTAGATATTTAGAAAAATTAAAATTTGTTGATGATACAGTTACATTTAAAATTATAAGAGAAGGTAAGAAAGATAGAAAATATACTTTTATACGCATAAAAAGAATAGGTCGTTGAAAAAATCGCTCATTGAATATTAAAACAGAATGGATGATTCGCATCTTATGTTATGATGCTTCATTATATACTATATGTGACCAAGGAAGGGAATGATTTCAAAAGTTGTGTCGTGGAATTTTAGTTTTAGTTTGTTCAACAAAGAAAATAGACTATAAGAAAAAGATTAAGTAATGATTCTTCACTTCGGTTTCTGCTAGCAACATGCAGAAAAATAATACAAATAAAGAAATTTGAACAATAAAAGGCAAATCATTAAAATGCATATTTTCCTCTCAATCTTTTATCCCATTAAATCCTCAGCTGAGATTAGCAATGTTTTGAAGATGACAAACGAAAAAATCTGCAAAAATATTTTTACCATTTACGTAGAGTTGTGTGTTTCTAGTTATTAGACACTAGCCTGACATTCCCCTGTGGTAGCCCTATGTAGGCATAGATTGCCATCACTGATCTCGATTTCGAGAATGTTCCAAGTACATGAAAATTTGTGAAGTTGTCTCTTTTTTGCTCTTCAATATTAAATATAATAAAATTCGCTTGTCCAATATAACAGATTTTAATCGAAAGAACTTTTGAAAATATTCTTTGTTCATCTTTGATTTGCTCGTTTTCTTTTTTGAATTTCGAAGCTTTTCTGAAAATCTTCTGGAGTTTAAAAACACTCGACTTTACGGATAATTGTTTATTTCACCAATTTCTATCATTAAAACTCTCTTCTTTGACATTTACTTTTTTCAGCGATCTTGCATAAGTTTTCTCAAAACCACTAATTCTATAGGACCTTGACGAACTATTTTTTAAGTTCTTTTTCTACTTGTTATAAATACATCTGTCGTTGTTGAAGAAATCATGAAAATTAACGTTTTTATCCTTCATCAACTAAGAGAACAACAGACAATCATTTTTTGTGGTTAAAAANTTGTGTGCTCTCTGTTTCCAGAGTATTTTCAAGGTTTCTCATGCTGATGTCATGTAGTTGCTCAGGAGGAAAAGGTTTTGAACTAACGCAATGTTATTTCGAGATGCCTTTTTGGAAAACCACGTTTTCAAAAACAGAAGTTAGTGTACGGCAAGCTTATTTCCATATCATTGGGTGTAGAATTTAATTCTGAACAAAATGGTATGATCGTGAAATTGAAAAATGAAAAAATTAGATTATGTCGCGCCAAAAACAGAATAATGGTATCATTGTGCCAGAAAAGAGTTTTTTCAGCTTATTCATATTTTTTAGGTCGAAAATTTTTCTCAAACACATTTTGTTTTAAGATACTGAAACATACATCAAAATATACAGAATTTTGCTCTGAAATTTCTAGCATATTTGACATTTCAGCGAGACCTTTATTAAAAATTGTTCATCACTTCTCCTTTTTTTGACTGTCACAGTTAGTCCATTGAGCAGGTGTTAATCTTTTAAATTTTGCACCAACCAAAAAAAATGATTCGAAAAACAAAGACAGTAGTTTTTTAGAGCAGAAAATTTCCTATCAAATAAGCCTAAAATGCAGTCTCTAAGGTTTTGGGAAGTATCCTAAAAAGAGGAAGACTTTTTGTCCCGTCTATTATGCGCCACCCGTTAGCGTTTATGAATAGTAGTTTGTGATGAGCAGATTAAAGGATGACTACTCACGCACTCTTTCAATTTGAGCATGTTTCAGCAGTAATCGATCGCACTGCAATTCAATTAGCGACTTTTCAGTTTTTTTCGAAAATCTTGACTAAGGTCCAAAAGAAGAGAGAATTATCTTGGTAAACATCTGCATGATTAATGACGGACAAACATTTACTGTTATCATCTGAAAACTTCTTGTATTTCATTTGATTATTGGTTCTGATCTTTGATTGAAGTACCGATCTCTGTGGACAACAGCACTAACAGATACCACGAAGTGAATCCTTCTTCCGTTGTTACCCAAGCAGATAAACGTTTGAGAAAACGCGTTTAAACGCACAAAAATTAGCCTAAAATCAGCAAAAAGTGGACGTTTTTTGCTCACACTTGAGGTTCCCAACTGTGAGCCAAAAACGCCCATTTTTCGTCTTTTTTGTGCGTTTAAACGCCTTTACACGTTTACAGAAGAGAGAAAGTGGTCCTTTTTTATACTTCAAATGCTCGATCATGATTATAGTCACGTTTTTCGAGCTGAAAAAGCAGAACAACTTTTTTCTTTCTTTTGTATGGCGTGTAAAGGCGTTTAAATGCACAAAAAGACCGAAAAATGGGCGTTTTTGGTTCACAGTCGGGAACCTACAGTGTGAGCCAAAAACATCCACTATTTGTTGATTTTAGGTCAATTTTTGTGCATTTAAACGCGTTTTCTCAAAAGTTTGTCTGCCTGGGTAGTAGGTGTATTTTAAAAACAGTATGTCCGTCAAATCTAGGTCCTCCATGAATGACTTAGACGATCTTGAAAAGTACCAAGGCTTCGAATACACTACTAAACGAAGCTTTATTTGCTTGCTTTACACATCTTCTTTTTTTTGGCCGTTTTTTAGTAGCAGAAATAAAAGCCGCTGTGTATATATGGCTGTAGTAATAATTCGGATAAAGCTTTTATCGATCCGTCTACTTCTCGCCATAAGCTTGTGGATTGTGTTCGCCTATGGATATTTGAGCAATTATCGCTACACATGGTATTATCAATATAAAACAAATGAAACTGAATTACATTTAAAAATGAATGAGCAACTCAGATTGGCACAATTATTCTGGGATCAATTGTTGAAAACACGTAATTATAGCCATAGTCTAACATCAGATATTTGTACTGTATTAATCAGTTCATCCCGCGGTGTACATCCATTATTACATTATACCCTTTCGTCACTCGTTAAAGCAATGACATCTGAAGACAAATTGACTAAGAAAATCCTTGTTTATAATACTGCTCGTCCGTCTTCTCTACACAAATATGCCCAACAATTGTCTCAAGCACAGATTCCATTTCTCAAAGTGATCAACGCTTCTGAGCTCGAATCAGAACTTTATTCGAAAAGAACTCAGTTTCAGAATCCACATCATAAATGGATATGGACTGAATCCGTAGACTACTTATCTGCTCTGTCTCTTTGCCAGACAACGAATTCAAGTTACATTTTAATTTTGCAGGATGATTTAATATTTACAAAGGGGTTTTTCAGGAAAATACGGTCAGCTTTAAACAACGAACGTAACTGTAGTTGGATCAGGTTATTTAAATCAGATTTTTGGGATGGATGGGAAAAAGACGATATGCCACTTCTACTTTTCTTATCTACATACATTTCAGCACTTATTATGTTGACTTGGCTTGCTATTGATAACCGAAAATGTTATCTATCGAGACGGTGCATTGCAGAAACATATAAAAAGTGAGCCCCAAAAATTGGTCTTAACGTAAGCGCACTATTACTTGCTCCATCAAGAGAATAACTGATAGAATAAAATTTCATTATTTTTTATGCCTGAAAACGTTTTCTTTTGTGAGTGAAAGAAGAAAACGTAAATTGAAAGAAATTTTATCATCCGAACTGATCGACTTAGGTCCTGAAAAACACAGTTGAGCGTTTGTTTGCGTGCTGCAGTTCTTCTTTCTGGGAAACACATAGCTTGAGTTTTTGATGCTGCTATCTTCTTTATTCAATATAAAAGCATGTTTGTGTTGCTTTAGGCTTCGGAATATTTCATCGCATTCAATAATTATTTTACTAACATTTTGGCTACTTTGGTTTGGATTCGTTCTTATAATCTTAATATCAACCAATCGTCAAAATTTTCAATTTCTTGTTGGTCCAAGAGCTGGCGTTCATCCGATAGAATCATCTGTTCCCGGTGTTCTTGCACAATTATATCCTCGGTGGATAATATCAACACTTGAACAGTTTCTTCGTAAACGATTAAAACAAGGCTTACTTTTGAATATGCCAATACCTATTGATTTGCTATTAATTGAATTTTTGGAGCAACAACATACAAATTTTCAACAATGTCATCTTGTGCCAGATTTAGTGGACCATATTGGAGTTTATTCGTCATCGATTAAGAAAAATCAAGGAAGTTTCCTATCTATGAAACAAAGTGGAACATTTCGGTGGAACGAAGCAGCAATCGATCTCAATTTGATTTAACGAAAACATTCGATGGGTGGAGCTTTCTTTTTTACGTATTCAATCCTATCTATATGTTCTTCTTAGTACTTGTTCTGCTATATGACATCCTTTACTTATTTTTGTCAATGATAACTGAAGTAAACGATCCATAAAGCAATGTTCTAATAACCGACAAATAACTCATTATTTAGCGATATAAATCGAATTATTTATAAGATTCCTCTTTTTATATAGCATAGTTGATTAAAAAAAATGATCTCAATGAATGCCCAGGATGAAAGTTGTGACAACATAGTTGCTTTTTCATATGCAAGACGAAAGCCACCGTTTCATCAATATAAGTATGTCGCTGTCGATAAATTGTGGTTTGTTGTTGTTTCTCAGGTTGTTCGATCAAAGATGAAAACGCTAAAAATCAGAACTTTATGTTCGAAGGATCAGCACGTCTTCTTTGCGGTGCATGAGTGTTCCAATTCGATTTTTATCGTATTTGTTTTACAGAGTTCAGCAAAAACGTTTCTGTAAGCTTCCTTCTTCTTAACATGAATCTATTCGGACATATTACTTTAGACTTGATACCATAGAATAATCACAATTTTCGATTAAGATATCGACGCAACGTTCTCAATTTTCGTTGCATTAGTCATTGAACTATTTTCTAATATTATCACGGTATGAAACAGAACAAAGATGATTAAGATAGCACCCACGAGCTCATCAAGAAATAGGAGCACTCGTCAAAGTTTTTTTTTTTGATTTGATGTTCTCATGTTAGGGTGTGGGTGGGCTGGTGGATGGAAGTGATCTGCTCATCAACGCCCACACTCACCCACACCGTCCATTGATAATTTGAAAGGATGCGATTCTCTCATCTTTAATTCGCTGATTATGTTTTCACATGGGAAGACACTGTTTGCATCACATAAATCGTAGGAGCAGACGACACGCACAGTTCTTTCTGTGTATATTTTTTCTTGATTCTTTTTCGTAGAGCAGACGATGTATTTGCACAAGACATGCTTGAGTATTTGTTTTCATTTGCGCAGAAAGAGTCTTATAAGTAATCGACAAATAGCGCACGTTATTGTCTGTTAGCAGTTGTTTTTTTCTCAACTTTCAAAAGAAACAAAACACAGTCAATGATCACATGGTGAGAAACTGACTAGAGTTTGTTGATAAAGTTGTGATAATGTTATTGGTATTAATGCCAAAACATGCGTTCCGATATAAAGTAAATAGTTCCAACAACCGTCGTTCGATACTCACAAACAACGCGAAGCAAACATTGTAACGTTTGCTTACAATCAACTATGTCTATTCCATCTCTCGATAATCTTCCTTCCGGACTTCTCTATCGGATTCTTGACCATGTCGACGTCGTAACATTTTATCGCTCACTTCATCTTGTTTGCACTCAATTCCCTACGATCACGAATGCCTAAGATCGATACAAATTGAATTTCAGTTCTATCTCAAAATTCGACTTTGATCTTGTTTGCCTACACATTCGTCCCGAAAATACCACTTCATTCACAGTATGTGTTAAAAAAGCAATTTTATATAAATGTCTTGCCGAAGTTGCACTTTTTGTCGAAATTATTTTTATCATTTAATTTAATATCCATTATCAAAGATGAATATTAGTATGCTCAGTAATGCATTATAAGCTCATTTATGAAGAAATATTCTGAAAAAAATATTTTAGCAGTCACCCTCAGATCCGACTACATTGAGATGGTTTTCACATGGCAAAAAAGTCAAATATCAGATTGGCGAAAAAGTTTTCTTTAAACTTCTATTAATCCATCGATAAGGTTAACTTCGAATTTCGGTTAATGAGCTGTCTTGAATCAATGGTATTTCAAGTAGTACCATTGACAATATAGACATTAAAATAGGATTAACAAAGTTATGGATGCATATTCATGAAAGAAGGGCTTTTATGGGTAATTGCCCGCACGTTTTTGAATCTGAATTCAGTTTCTTCAATGATGATTACATATTCTAAGAAACTATTGTTTCAACAAATTTCGTCGACAAGAATTCCGAACTATCATCAGCCTAAGGAATATTAGAGATCAAATAAAAACTACTCTGACCTGACATTGAGCTATTCCGAGAAAGGAATCGCAGATAGTCTCAGACAAATCTGCTATTGGTATGAATTCAAGAGTAGATTTTAACATTAATATGATTGTGAACTAAGAAGGATGTGGATTGCACTCTATTTTTTCTCCAATATTCAGATCTCTATAACCTTGGAATTTCTATTGAATATTGATTGCAATTGTTGAAGGTTAGGAAACTGATACTCATTTACGAGTTGATAAGATTCAAAGAAAACCTACTAACATCCCAAAATAAGTACTTTTACACCAACAAGTCTTTATTGTATTTAATAAGTAAATGACTTATGATCTCTGATGCATGATGTGTTAGCGCAAAATGTTCTATATACCTAAATGAGAACTCAAAGCACCTTCTATTTTCCTTTATTATAATATTAGTTTTGAATGTTTTTGAAAAATCTCGCTTCGATTAGCAGCTGTGTGGTTTTACACATTCGAGCCTGTTGGCTGAATAGAAAACATTGAATTACATAAAGCTTTTTAAGAAATATAGTGTTAAAAGTAGGACGTATTTCTTTTGGTATGATAAAAGAAAATACTATAATTTTATTTAAGTTTTTAATTGGTGAATTGCAAAAAAAGCAAATAAATCAGATCTAGCCTGAACGAAAATTCTCATAGCTAAAATTTATTTTAAACTAAGCGAAAAAGATACCCGTATTCGTAACTTTTTCAAAAAATTTGTTCCTAAATGAGTTTATAATGCACTACTAAGCTGGGACAATAGCGCTATCCATATTTCTGATAGTGCTAATATTCATCCTTTGATAATGGATATTAAATTAAATGATAAAAAATAACTTCGACAAAAAGTGTAACTTCGGCACGGCATAAATATATCTTGCACGATGAGAAACATTCTTCTTTTTTTATAAAATAGAGACATTGTTTCTAGACATCGGCGTGATCAATATTTTTTTCGTCACCGTCACACACGATCACGGCCACGGTCACGATCGTGACCAACGCAGCCGTGATCGTGAGTCTCGAAAATTCTAATGACTATAAACGTGCAGTATTTTCAGTTGCCTATGTGCATATAACTTATACAGACAGTGTTGATTAAATCGTGTTTCTGTTGGGAAAAAGTAACCAGATAATGACGGTTGAGTATGATAAGAAAAGCAAGAAAATACGAAATCAGAACAATAATATCTTTCTGATTATAGGGTGTAATGAAAATTAGCTTCCTACAGAAAGAAAATTTCTGAAGAGAATTATTTACAAATAATTTGAGGCAATGATTCTTCTGAAAGTTTGTAAAAATCGAAAGAGGAACAATATATACCAGGCTCTGGTTCATTTCAGTATCATTGATTTTCATAAAGAGAAACAATGTTCTGTTATTTTTCGTTCATACAGATCGCTTAAATGCTACTAATCAGTTAAAAATTTGTATACCGCTCATATGGAATAAGGAAGCACCGAATGTTAAAGTTCGAGTAAAGGTTCGGTCTTGAATGTTGTCATTTTCAGTCAATTGATAAAACTATGAAGCAGAAGCAAAGCAAAAGAAAGACTTTCAAGTTTTAATTTCTGAGGAAGTTAAAAAATAGTCATAAGATGTTCAGAGTAAAAAATTATCGCAACTGGTTGCGACTGTCCGTGACAAGTCGTAACCAAGGTCCAGTCACAGTCACGGTCACGAATTTTGTTTCAAAGTTAGTTACGGTTACGACCGTGACCGTAATAACCGTGAGTCACGACGGTCACGCCGATGTCTAGTTGTTTCTTCACGTTCTCTTTTTCTTCTGGCCAGCTAAGAAAGAATATAAAATCTATGAAATTGTAAATACTTCTTCTCACATTTCCTATCTTTGCTCCATGTCTACTTTTATTTTTATTTCCATTTGAAACTTGTCACATATGAAAGTAATGTAGCTTATTCTATTTTCAAGATATGCAGACAAACTCAATAAGCTATTGTTTATACGACCTTGTTTATTGTAGATTGATATTTGGTTCAAGAACTATTATGGAAGATTGTGCTCAACTCGAAGATGGCCCAGTTTCATTGACAGATGATTTATTGCCATCGATTAGAGATCAATTGGATTTAGGTGATGGTGTAGAATTAGATCATCAACAACAACAGCCACCACCATTACAAAAGCAACAACTACCAACCAAAACTGTTCATTCCTTATTAGAAACAGAAATTGATCCTGATGCTATCGAATCATTGGAATTAGTNGTTATTACGGTCACGGTCGTAACCGTAACTAACTTTGAAACAAAATTCGTGCCCGTGACTGTGACTGGACCTTGGTTACGACTTGTCACGGTGTTTTGCACCTCAATACCGTGCAATTTTTATTTACCTTGGTAAGGCAGTTCTGGAATCGCATTGGATTTAAATCTAATATGAAATCCCATTGCTTCTATGTTTTTTATAAAAAGTTGCGTCTTGTAAGAAAGCTCGGGCTTGTGACAGCAAGTAGTTAAACTCTTTTGCTAATAATAAGCCTGTAGTTTTTTTAACATGGGTAACCAGAAAAATAATCAACGAGCTTTAATTTTCGCCTTCGGTCTGGAATTATTTATGGTGTATTTGATCTAAAACATTTCGATCCAATGATTAGACTGGACTGCTCTTTGTGTTTAAAAGTAGATTCTTTTTTGTTCACTGGCTTAAGAGATCAAAAACCGCTTCCCAAACGAAAAAACTTTCAAAGAAATGTTTCTGATTCATACAAGTTCCAAAATATCCTTCTACGTTTCAACTAATCTAAAAACCTATAAAGAAAAAGCTGCTGTTTTTTTTTAAATAATAACCCACGTTATGAAATGAAACTTACAAATGCCATTGTTTTTGTTGTTTAGGCAAATGAAACATCAAGTTGCTACAACTTCATCAGGCTTTATAATAAAAAATCGATGGATTCTATC